TTTGATATCATTTCTTTGTTTTTTGTTTTTTGTACAGTAAGAGGAGAGGGGAAGTATGGACTCTCCTTCTCTAACATAAAAACGATTTTAGTAATTTAATCGAATCGCATAATTTAATCATTTTTTGGGTGATGGTGTGATTGCACACCTTACAACAATCCTATAAACTATGTGCGATAGTGGGTTCACTGAAAGCTGAAGTATATCCTTCCAGCATATAAATGTCTGCTTTTAACTTTCCTGGTTTTTAAATGTGGTCTGCAATAACACGCTTCGTAAAAGCAAAGAGTAATTTCAATCTTGTTATGGATATAATTAGTTATAAAAACCACTCTTTTACCCTATTATAATGGTAAAGTTCCAGAAAATCATGTTAAATGCTAAACAAGGATAAATGAGGAATTTAAGGAATGATTTAGGGCTCAAAGTTACTTGTACTGGATCCCCAGGACATGGTTCGAAATTTATTTCAAACACTGCTGGTGAAAAATTGGTGAGTTTTTCCACACAAGTTTTTCGTAATCAGCATTTTTTAATTCAACTAACAGTTAATCTTAAAAAAGGACGAGTTTTTCATTTTAGCAAAAACTTATCAATCAAACATTGGAATTTCGCGAAAAACAACGCAAAATCTTGGAAGCAGATCCGAGTAAAACACTTGGCGACGTTACTACTCTGAATTTGACAATCATTGAAGGCGGAGTTCAAGTGAATGTATTGCCGGAGAAGTTTATAGCCTGTTAGTTAGTAATTTCAAAAAACGATTTGATTAATTTTTGTCTATTCTGTAAAGTATCCTTACAGATTTTGACATTCGAGTCCCACCTACGGTATGTTTTGATGAGTTTACAGAAGAAATCGCCAATTGGTGTCGAAATGCGGGAGAAGGTGTAGAGTACGAATTTCTCCAGGTGATCTATCATATATCAAAATGTATGAATAAGGAAAAATCCAAAAAAATGGCGGAGACCAGTTCTCGTTATGTTGCAAGAACTTAACAACATCAGAGCGGTTGTCAAAAACAGCAAC